GCCCGATCCTCACTTCTTGGAGAACGAAAAACGGTATGAAGAGCTGAAGGAGCAGATTCTAGGTGAAGAATCTGAGGACAATGCCGATTCGGATAATGATGCAGATTCAGAGGATGAGGATGATGAAGAGTTTGAGGAAGAGGATGAGGAACAGATGAAGATAAAGGATGAGACAGAGACAAACTTGATCAATCTCCGGAGAACTATCTACTCGACTATTATGTCTAGTGTTGATTTTGAAGAGGCAGGGCACAAGTTAATGAAAATGAAGCTGGAGCCTGGCCAGGAGGTGAGTGTATATTTTATTTTATTTGGGGAAAAATAAAAGGGGAATAGGAATTTCCTCTTTTTAACTGCAAGTATTTTGTTCGCGTGACATGGTCTACATAAATCTATATGGTCCCCTTAAGTGTAAATAATGTTTTCCTCATTGTTGCTTAAATTTTGAGATGATGCAGATATTTTTCTAATCAGTTGTCGATTTGTAGTTAAGCTTTTGTTTTAGATTGCAAACTTTAATAATTTTGAAGTTAGATTTTTGTTTTCTGAGTGTATATCCGAATTACATGCAGTGGTAAATGGATAAGTCAATAAATGTTATTCATATTAGTTATTTGTATCTTCAAATTTTACTTGTAGTCACTTAGTGTATATTTTAATAGAATTCTGATGATTGATTTCCGTTCTGTGTAGATGGAATTGTGCATTATGCTTTTGGAGTGTTGCAGCCAGGAGAGAACCTACCTCCGATACTATGGACTCCTGGGACAACGGTTCTGTATGATAAACAAGGTTCATCAGGAGAACTTTGAGAAGAGCTTTGTTCAGCAGTACTCTACGATTCATCAACTGGAGACCAATAAACTTCGGAATGTTGCGAAATTCTTTGCTCATTTACTTGTCACAGATGCATTGCCTTGGCACGTCTTAGCCTATATAAGGCTGACCGAGGAGGACACGACTTCTTCTTCCCGTATTTTCATTAAGATTCTCTTCCAGGTACCAGATTAGTATTTTTACTCTCTTAGTTTTCTCCATTTATCGTCAGTATTATCTAAAATTGTTTGGTTTTTCGTTTCAATTCTGTTATCTCTTATGACATATAATGCAATAGGTCATTTTTTTTTTTAATTCCGTGAATTGGTTTATTGTTGCGTGCATCTCGATGATGTTTCCTCTTATTCTCATTTCTCAAAGTTGCTAAAAACCTGAAATATCATCTTATTTGTTGAAGGAAATATCCGAGCACCTTGGGATCCGCTTGCTCAACGAGCGCCTGAATGACCCAGCAATGCAAGACTCGTTTGAGTCCATCTTCCCCAAGGATACCCCCAAGAACACAAGATTCGCAATTAATTTTTTCACATCCATAGGGCTTGGTGGGATCACGGAAAACATGCGAGAGTATCTAAAGAACATGCCACGCCTCATAATGCAACAGAATGGGGACGTGCCGGAGCAGGATTCAGATTCTGATAGTGAGAGTGAAAGCGAGACTGATTGTGAAGATCTGCAGAAAAGGAAGAAGAGAAGAAACTAATGGAGATTGTAGTGGTAGTTCTCTTATGACGTGCTATGTATAGGAGTCTTGATAAATGTTTTGCAGTTCATTGTTTTTGTGGTTTTTGTGGTTGTGATATTACTTGAAGAGTAGTGATGGAGATAATGATGTTTAGAATCTTCAATTATTATTATTATTATTATTATTATTATTATTATTATTATTATTATTATTATTATTATTATTATTATTATTATTATTATTAGTGATATTATAGATTTGTTAGGAAACTTATTATTTATCACTTTTGTTAGGATTCTTGTCTTGTTAGACAAGTTAGTATTGTTAGGATTCTTGTCTTGTTGGACAAGTTAGGATTAGGGTTTATGAGCCTTATATAAAGGACTCTCCCTCTTTTGTTATCTGAAGTTGAATTTGAGAATGAAAAATTAATTGTGTTCTTTCGGGAGAGTATCCCAAGTTCGAGAGAGTATCTCGTTTTATCTTTTTCATTCGTACGCTTTTCCCTACATCAGTTGGTATCAGTATCAGCAGTCAGCACGATCGCGATGCCGCTGGGACGACAAGATACCGCAAACAAACAACGTGATGCAACCTTCAACGATCGGTTTCAACAAACTGACTATCGATTTGAAGAGGTGGACGTGCGTTTCAAGAAACGGATTTGGTTTGCAGATCTTTCGACGGGGATCGAGGATGTGTGTTTGACGCCGAACAACGTGATTGTTGCAGATTTGCAGATGAACCGTGCCGCCGGCGACCGGGGTGTGCGCGGGGGAGTTCACGGAGGAAGTGGAGGTCGTGGTCCAGGCGGGGCGCCCCGTCTACGATCTCCACAACCACCGTCCGGCGATGCAGACGGCGAGAAGACCATCTTGGAGGTGGATCCCTTCGGAGAGTGGCCGCCTCCGCCTGTCGAGACTAAGCTCGTTGTTGTACACAACGGCCAACAAGGTGTGGTTTTTGAAGAGAATGACGGACTATTGTACGACGGTCCGCCTATTTTTGATGAGGAGTCACTTGTGGTGTCGATGGAGGACGAGTACTATGTGGTTGTAGAATCATCTATGAGGCCAGAGGTTGTGCCTGGAATAGATGTTTTCAATGAATTGGAAGATGGATTTTCATGGTCTTTTATTCAACAAGCATATGTGTTTGATAACTCGCATAGTGTGCTCAAAAAGGACAAAGTGGAGAGTTGCTGCCATAGATTTTCTGCTTGTGAGTATACCAAGTTCATGGCCCGTCAAATTGGCCCGATCGGGATTGTGGAGCAGTTGAAGACGAGATTACTTCGGATTCGAGAGCGAATCCTTTTCGACAGGGGGAGAATGATGGAGATAATGATGTTTAGAATCTTCAATTATTATTATTATTATTATTATTATTACTAGTATTCTACCTGTGCATTTGCACAAATGTAAATAAAATATTGTGAGTTATTTGCATGCATATAACGATTAATTATTTTTCTTTCACGTTTTTGCAGCCAAATTTACAATTAAAGGAGTTGATTTTTTTTCTTTAAATTGCGTTTATTAGATTGGATGTAACATATATTTTGGTATGTATTTTTTTTTAAATTATTTATAATTTATTTAGGAGTTCATATACTTTTTTTATTTTTCAAAAAAAATAATTTACATGTAACCACAATAATAATATCTAATCACATTATACGGTAACACATTATATGGTTAACTGTTAGTAATCAAAAGTTCAAAATGATTTTTGTATTTTAAATTGATTAGTGTATTGATTATCTATTAATTAGGTTAAATAAATGAAAAGTAACGGTTTTTGGAGGGAAAATGTAAAAGTTCCACCTAGGTATAATTTATGAGGTTTTCTTAAATGTAGAAGAGCTAGTAATTATATATATATAGATTATTATTATTATTATTATTATTATTATTTTATTATTATTATTATTATTATTATTATTATTATTATTATTATTATTATTATTATTATTATTATTATTATTATTAGTGATATTATAGATTTGTTAGGAAACTTATTATTTATCACTTTTGTTAGGATTTTTGTCTTGTTACTTGTTAGACAAGTTAGTATTGTTAGGATTCTTGTCTGGTTGGACAAGTTAGGATTAGGGTTTATGAGCCTTATATAAAGGACTCCCCCTCTTTTGTTATCTGAAGTTGAATTTGAGAATGAAAAATTAATCGTGTTCTTTCGGGAGAGTATCCCAAGAGAGTATCTCGTTTTATCTTTCTCATTCGTACGCTTTTCCCTACATCAAGTAGTAACTGAGACGCTTTTCCCTACATCAAGTAGTAACTGAGGTAATCAAGTTCTTTGTTCTCCGAGTTCTTCAAATCCTATTTCGTTGCTGTATTTGTCATTATAATAGTAGTATATATGCAGTGCTGACCAGAAGTGGCATTTCCGTTACTTACGTCCGTCTGCAACAAGAATGCCGTTTAACCAACATTTGTATTTTCCGAAAATATCTATGCCGATCGAGTAGAGTGTTAGGCTCATTGTAGCTGCAGATTTTTCACCAAAAATAATCATATTTTTTTTGGACTATTTGGACAGTTTGACGGGGTCTTGGTACTATTCGAGATCTTTGAAGTGACAATTTGAGGACAAATCAATACAAAAAGCTTCTTATTTTGAAATTTTGTGCCATCACTTTGTTGCAAAGTCTTTAGATATCTGCATTTTGAGATTTTTGTGCGATCACTTTGTTGCAAAGTCTTTAGATATCTGCTCAATTTCTATATATTGACCATAGGCCATATATAGAAAACTTGAACAGAATACTGATTGTAGTTTTATACATTATATAGTCCCAAAAACTAGGTGCATTGTTTGTTAATCCTCTCGGATTAAAAAAAAGTTTAGTTTTTGAAATGGATTTCACACTTCGGTGCAGATTATTGTTCCTCATGCTGGCTACCACGACAATAATCTCAGCTAATGCTCAACCCCAAGAAAACGTTACCGTAAAATCAGTTATAGTCGCTGGTGGCTCGAATTCCTCCTGGAAATCGTCATCCGGAGAATTCGCTTTGGGTTTCCAGCGAGTCTCGCCACATGGCTACCTGCTAGCAATCACTTTTGACCAATTGTCCGAGAAAACCATCGTTTGGGCCGCCAACCGCGACAAACTAGCCAAACCAGGCTCGTTCGCCCAGATTTCGGCTGATGGCGGGTTGGAACTCATTGGTCCTACTGGGGAACATATTTGGGCCTCAAACATTACGGGCCCGGGCAGTGTGGCCCGTGGTACCATGCTTGACAATGGCAACTTTGTGCTTGAGAGGCAAGACTCGGTTGTCCTGTGGCAGAGTTTCAATGAGCCAACCGACACATTATTACCCGGCCAGGTCACCACTTACCAATCTCTCCTCTCTTTTTTAATCTCTCCTCTCTCTCTTCTTTAGTAGAGTATAAATTCAGAAAAAAAA